CGGGTCCCAGCATCCTCAGCATCCTCGGCATCCTGGGCAAAGTGAGCGATTGTTGTGCTCACTTGCCAGTCTGCCAACTGAAAAGTAGTGCTGCTGCTGCTGCAGGTGCAGTCAGGGATTTGCACCGGAGATTGCTGGATGAGTTGGAGTCCCTTCGTCACTCCATCCATCCCCACCAACTACTGAGTAATTAACTTGAGCAACGGCACTGATGACGACAATAAAACGCCAACTTAATTAAGTGACACAAGTGCATCGCGCCCGAGGTTGTTGTGCCTTCTGCCTTGATAACCATAAATATACCACCTTTTTTTTGCTGAAAGAGTTCAAGCTTTAATTAGGCCTGATTTATATAAGAATTTTGGTTAAGATGGCACTAGAAAATCATTCTTTAAAACGTAATACAATATTAAGATCACAGATTAAGAGAGATTAGATGAAAACCACTGAGATTTGTAACTATCATGTTCAAGACAACCCCTCATCATGTACATATATCTCCTATATCACTAACCTAGCCCGCATATATAATATAGTATATAGTATCGTTACACACATCGTCGTAATACACACACTCACCAAAAACTGAGCAATCAGACGGACAGCCGGAGTATCAATGACAAATCAGGGCGTGACTAATCGCCTAATTGCAAAACAAACCGCGGTCGTAACAGAAACGGCCTTGCCCAGACCTCCCTCTCAAAAATTTTCCAATGGAGGGGGAGTGAAGCTCAGACCCTTGGGCGATAAAAATGCAAAATTATAATTAGACAGCGATTAGCCAATGGCCCCATGGGACGACACTCAGATTGCGCATTTATGCAGGCTCAAGACCATGATTGAATTACACTAGTGAAAAATGCGGGTGAGGAGGGTTCTCAGTACTGAGTTTTCCCTTCTCAGTACCAAGAACCCTGCTTGGGAGGAAGTATTATATGCAGATAAACATGAAACTTAGTCGTTGCCACACAAATCCCGAGGCCCGAGAGAGGTCTGTGACTGTGGGCTTTGGTTGCAACTATTGGTTTTATTGGTGATTATGATAATATGCACTACGATCTATGGGGACTTATTGTTCCTCTGGCTTAAAGTCCTGTGTTTATTTAGCCCTTTATTGCCCAAAAACTGAGGAGAGTAAAGAGGAGGAGGAGGATGTGTCCCTGCATCCGTTTCTGTGCGGATTTGCGAGGCGTGGATTTTAGAGGTTCATTATCCGACACACCTAGGCGACGACCTGCTGTTCCCCGTGGGTTTTCCCATTTTCCGGTGCAGGTGGACAGCGCGGCTTAGGGCTTGTCGCCAGGCAGTCTCTGACCATTTGCATGTGTGTGTTCCTGGCTTACAAACAGGTAAGTTACCTGGCCGAGTTACCTGTCGTAAATCATCGGTCCTATCGATCAAAAATCACAGGCCTATAAATTCTTACGGCTGCCACACATCCATCAAGTGCTTTGGACCTTGCTAGCTGCTGGACCAGGCCCCACAGCTAATTGGATTTTTGTCAACTAATCCGATTTGTTTATGTACTCGCAACTCGGAAATGTAACATATATTTATATACCCCGTTCCGTTCCTCCCCTCAAAAAAATAAAACAACACACAAAAAAGCAGGCCCGTCTCCGAATTGGTTACAGTTTTAGGCTTATGAATCAACTCGGCTCCGTTGCATGTCTCACTCGGTTAACCTACATTCCACAAATGTGTCACTCTGGGCCGAAAAACACAAGCCACTTAAAATTTACTAGCCCTGACTGCCTGGCTTGCCAGTTACTTCCCAGACTGACGTCGAAGTAATGACATTTGTTTGCCAACTTTTCGCCATTGTTCAAGTTTAATTAGTTGTTCAACTCTATCTCTATCTATCCATCTCTCAGCATCCCCAGTATCCATCTCCCTCTTACTGGTGAGCTTTTGTTGCCATTATTATTGAAGGGTTGTTTGCTCCAGAGAAAGAGAGAGAGTAAATCGGGAATCTGGATGGGATTACTTGTATCTGATTAGGAAAGTCAGCAGAGGAAAAGTATTGATGAAATCTGTGAAAATATTTAAAGATGGAGGAGGAGTTTATGATTAAAATACAACTGGGGTTTTTACATATTATTAAATCATACAGAATTGCATAGAAGAAATTTACATCGTTTCATCAAGTTGAAACCACGACCTTTCCTAAGGTTATATGCCCAAAATGAGGTATATAAATCAATTAATCAGTAATTAAATAACCTCTCCTTAAATATAATATTGTATAATTATAAAAATAACAAGTGTAATAGAAGACCTTAAACTTATTTCATAAAATCTCTTATCTAATCAATAAACAAACCCCGAATTGATTTAAAACTTGACTAAACACCTATAATTTCTTGGTCAATCAACATGCTTCTTCATAAATATAAACAGAAACTTAAGCCCAGAAATAAAACGGAACTATTATAGTTAATTAATGAACTAAATCAAAAAAGCCAAAACAAAGCCAACGAAAAACTCTCACGATCTTCGATTGCTGACTCAGGTGCTGCATTAAAAATATATATATATATATGTATAAAAAACAAGCACCTGTCCCCACTAGACGAGCGACAAACAAACACAGAGATCGATGCCAGAAACCACCAAATAAACACAAACAAAACAAAATCTTGTTAAACGTGTGATTAGCTCTTAATTTTAATGGCAATCCGAAGCTCGATAAAAATGCTGTCATCGGGGGATTTCGTTTAATTTTCTCACTGATTGCAACAAATGACAGCGCCACAAAAAAATTAGTTAAAAAACTGAAACAGAATGAAGCACAGAACAATTTTTGTTTCAGCTAATTAAAAGTAAGCAAACACAGCTGGAATGGATGGATGGATATATACATTCATAAATAAATCCAAATCAAATATCAAACTCAGCGGACTGAAACGATCTGACAATTTGCATGTGAAACAAAGTCACAGTTGAGGTAGATTTGTATCTGCTGCTGCAGCTTAGCTCAAATGACACCCATATAGCATTAATAAATTTCTTGTTTTGCATTTGCTTCACACACGACGTAAAAAAAACTACAAAAAATAAATGTTTAAAAAATTATGCATGTATCTCGAACAATCTCGCATTTCAACACAAATAAACAGGCCTCAAATCGAAGATAAGCAGCTCACCAACCAGAAAACAAAATATATCTATCTGTGGATATTATGAAAATTGCCACAAATGCAAATGGAGTCGAGTTTGAGTTTTTTTTTTATGTATGCGAACTATTTTGAGCATGCCAAATAAAATCAACAGTTTATACTATAAACTAAAAATACCTAAAGAAAAAAGATTAAACATTTTTAATCAATCCGGACTAAGGGTTAACCCTTGCTTCCTCCAATGAGAAAAATAATATAAATGTAAAGTTTTATAATTAAAAATCGTTGGCGCTAATTGATTGCAAAGTCACAATAATGGAAGTGAAATGGAAGCAAAGGTGAGCCAACTCCCAGGGGGTGGAAAAAATTGGAAATATTTTAATTGAAATTCCGCGGCAGCTTTCATTTTAAGCCGAAGCATTTACTGAAATTATAATAATCAGCAGCGGCGGCTTTCGAATGACACAAAAAACAATAAACAATAATAAATAAAAAATGTAGTAAACAGTGTATAATGTTTGCACATAATAAATAAAATGCTTTGTATCCAAAAAATAAAAAAAAATTTGTCGTTCGACTAAAGTGTTTGTTTTTGGTGCCAGTCCGCTCTGAATTTGCAATTTTTCATTAATAATACATATCATAATTTTTTTATGAGCTTTATGAAATGTTGGCCTAGCGCGTGGGCCAGATGTGATGGCTTGGCCGGCATAAATTAGCCATATTAAGTGGATATTATGCCGTTTTGTAGGCCCATTCACCGAGGGTCGAGTGATTGGACAATCTGGGTCTGCCTCTGGTGAGTGGCTCAATATATAATATATATTATATATATCTTTTCATATTATCAAATTCCATATAATTGGCTTTAACCTTGATGTAGGACCGATGCATGATCTGTGGAATTAGCTTGGAACGGTGGTGTCAGGTACAAAGCTCCTGTTTCCGGTCACGAAAATTGCATTTAATAATTGACAAAATGCATTTTAGTTAAATATTGAAATATTTCTGATTACCCAAAAATAATTGTACCTGTGGCTCGCTCCAAACATTCAGTTGGAATTCGTATATATATATTTTTCATGACAATCTCATTTCATGTTTTGTTCTAATTTGTCAAGGTTTGTTTAATGACTGACGACGGCAACAAGTTTCACTAACATGTTGTTTATTTATGCTGACAATGCGTGAATTTCATTTGAGTTTTACTACTTTAATCGCCTTTGTCTTGGGAATTACGCATCCCACTAAACAATGAGAGGGGAGGGCCATAAAAATCGAAACTTTATTATAAAACATTTAACACTTTAAGCCTTGCATATCGATTTTGAATGCAAAACTCACGGATCCTCCCAGTTCTATCTGACTTTTGCCGACGGCAAAGTTTTTGAATTAAAGAAAATTGAAATGTTTTTTTGTAAAGATTTTTCTTTTATTTGTTTTTTGTGGATTTTTGTTTTTATTTTATCTCCAGGTGCTTGGCAATGTTTTTTGTTGTTTGGATTTGTTTGTTTTGCTTGCCTTGCTCCATGTTTCACATTCACGTTTTGCACGTTTCTTGGTTTTGTTTTTGTTTTTTTACTAAATTTGCTTTAGGTTTGCTAACATTTTTGTTGTTGTGTTTTATGCTTTTAGATTTTTGCCTTCATTTCGATTTAAGTTTTAATAATAATAATTTTCATTTTCGCTTTATTACACTTAATTATGTTTGTCTTGTCTGGTAATTGTAAGCATAATTAATAATTAAATTGTTTATATAATAGATAATAATTAGAGTTACTTAATGCATAAGAGAATTTATAAAATAGAATGTTTTTGACATTATTTCTTTGTGTTTTTTTGTTTTATTTCCTCCGTTTTCTGTGAAATATTTTCATTTTCGCTTTTTCCTATATCAATTTTTGTTTTTCCTATTAATCTTTTTGGGTGTTTCTCTGTATCGACGATTTCCGTTGCCCTCCTGCGAACGCACATTTAATGTTTAAAGGGAATGTATTTTTTATTTTGTACAGCAAGTGGATGGGGAAAATGAATTGATCTTTGAAATTAAAACATTTGTTGTCTCGGTAAGTTGCAACAATTTATTTGTATCACACAATTGTTGTAGCTAGCAGGCAGGAAAATCGAATCAACACAGAACTGAACAGAATGGAATGCAGTGAGTGGTCGGTTGTCTTCCTATTGCGGTACAACAGTGCGTATGCTTTATGTTAAATTACTAATCGTTAAACTCTAGGCATTACTTATACGTCTGTGTGTTTGAATTGATACTTAATAACTAAAGCTAAAATTGTATCTGTGTGTGTTTTGTTGTGTGTGTGCGTATCCTAGGGCTTTTAGTTAATATTTTCAATAATTTACAACGTGGATATATCCAACAGGCCGGCACTGGCGACCACAGCCGCCTCGTGGCCAGGATGATAGTGATGGTACAGCTGATGATGCTGATGCTGCTGCTGCTGCGGGAGATGCTGCTGCTGATGCTGGTGCTGGTAGTGCTGCTGCTGCTGCTGCTGTTGCTGATAGTGGAGATGCTGCTCCTCGAGATGCTGCTGCTGCATGTCCAGCATGCTGGCCGAGGCCGCGAACGAGGAGCCAGCTGCAGCGGCAGCGGCAACAGCGGCTGCAGCTGCAACAGCGGATGAGGCAGCCGCCGCCGAGACGGACGAGGATGAGGATGAGGATGAGGCAGCGGCGGCGGCGGCGGCGGCGTTTGCAGAGGCGGATGGGGTCAGCTGGTAGGCGGCTGCCAAGGCGGGTGAATGCGCGGCATTGTGGCCACTGGAATGCGCCGAGGAGCGGCCTCCCGACGAACCCGATGCCGTCGGACTGGGCCGTCCGTTCAGCAACTGTTGCTGCTGCTGTTGCTGTTGCTGCTGTTGTTGCTGTTGCTGCTGTGACGCCGTCGGCATGTACGGCGGCAACGGCGGCGAAACGCTCACAGTGGAGGCTGCTCCATAGGCGCTGGCCATTTCTCACATATGGGCCAGCGGTGCCATCGTCCGCAGTGACTGCTGGTGCTGCAGGTGATGTTGCTGCTGCTGCTGTTGCTGCTGCATCGCTTGGTGTTGCTGCGGGAGGTGTTGCTGCTGCATGGCTTGGTGTTGCTGCGGGAGATGTTGCTGCTGCTGCTGCTGTTGCTGCATCGCCTGATGCTGCTGCTGCAGATCGGGCGAATCCGTCTGATAGTGCAGCAGGTGGCGCTGCTCGTCCGGCAGATGGTACATGTTCATCAGGTGATTCAGCTCACCGCCGCCGGCTGCTGCCGCTGCTGCTGCTGCTGCCGCTGCTGCAGCCGCAGAGCTGTATTCCCGCTTCATGATGTGATTGTTATTGTTATTATTGTTGTTATTCAGCGCTATGGCACTGGGACTGGGCGACACGGGCTCCGACTTGATGCTCGAATCGCTGGGGCTGTGACTCTGGCAGGAAACCTGGCCACCGCCGCCTCCACTGGATCCGTAGGGAGCCGGACTACCCGGCTGCTGTTGCAGGCTACTCGTTCCGTACGGTGACGGTGATCCCGGCTGCTGTAGACTGCTGCCATACGGCGATGTCTGTCCGCCGGACACCGTGCCGTACATCGCATACCCGTTGTTGTACATGTGTCCCATGTCGTAGCGCTGGGCGGCGGCATAGTGCTGGCCCATGTAGGAGGTCTGATAGGCGGCCGCTCCGGCCGGATCCGCGTGCATCATGTAACCGTTGGGCATGTATCCATTGGGCGCATTCATCTGGTACATATCCTGGCGTGCCTGCTGTGCCGCCGCCGCTGCTGCTGCCGCCGCTGCCGCTGCACTGCCTCCGCTCCCGTTCAGTGATTGATTCTGACCCTGGCCCTGGACTCGAGTGGGCGTAACGGGTTCTCCGGGCGCTCCACCGCCACCCACTCCAACTCCCGCCTGACCGGGCATTAGGCCACCCATCGGATACTTCTCCTTGGTCTTGGTCAGCGTTTTGGTCTTGCGACGCGGCCGGTACTTGTAATCCGGATGCTCCTTCATGTGCACTGCCCTCAGTCGCTTGGCCTCATCGATGAAGGGTCGCTTCTCCGCCTCGGACAGATCCTTCCACTGGGCACCCAGTCGCTTGGAGATCTCTGAGTTGTGCATCTTGGGATTATCCGAGGCCATCTTCCTTCGCTGACCTCGGGACCACACCATGAAGGCGTTCATTGGTCTCTTTACTCGATCCGCATGCTGTTGGTTCTTGTTGGCCGTGGCGCTGTTGTTGTTGTTATTGGAGGCTCCACCGGTCATGCTGCTCAAGGCGGATCCAGCGCCCAAATGTTGCTGCTGCTGCTGCTGGGAGTGTTGCTGGGAATGTTGCTGCTGTTGCTGCTGCTGGTGGCTAACGGGCGAGGTCATGTGGTGGCTACCAATGCTGCTCTGCGTGGGACTCAGCTCACTGGAGCTGTGCAACGGTGAGCTCTGCTGTTGGCTCACCTGGCTGCCACCGTTACCGTTCAGGGTATTGGCCATCGAGGATTGCAGCGAGCTGAGCGGATTGGGACTCTGGCTGGCCGCAATGTGGGCGCTCATGTGATGGTGATGGTGGTGATTGTGATGGCTCAGCTGCGAATGGGTCAGGTGTGACTGGCCGAGATTCATCAGCGGCGCCAGAGCCGAGTACGGCGAGGCGGCATGTCCATGGAGCGCCGCACTGGTATGATGCGGCGGCATGGTGGCGTGCAGCAGGCTGCCCTTCATGTCCGATTCCATGGTCAGCATGTTAGATGGCGAGTAAAAGGTGGATTTCCTCCTCGATGATTAAGATTTTATTACTCTGGGATTTTGGTTTATTTTCGCAGGAGTAGCTGCTACTTTGCTGGCTCGCTAAGGCGCTTTGCTTGGTTTTTGTTTTTTAATTAGTTTTTGAACATTTTGTGGGAAACCATGTTGCACTTGGTATGTTTTTTGTTATTGATTTTAATCGTGGCAATAGTTGATATCAAAATTTGTTTGGCTCTCTTTGGATTTTAGCTTTTGGATTTTTATTATTTATTTTTTTTTTTGTTAAGCTCCACAGTCACAATTTCTCTATTTGCACGGCGAGCAAACACTGGGAAAACACTTGAGAATTGTTGTTTAAAAACCCGACGCGAATATGGTCGTTGTCTTGCTTGTGTATTTATTATATTTTATTTTTTCTTTCTATATATATTTTTTTTTTGGGCAAATCAACGCATTTGCGGGAACAGCGAAAAAATACCTCCACACTAGGCGGAATTGAGCACCTTTCTGTTTCTCCGGACGACGGCGAAACCTGTTCGAGGTGCGTTCTACGTTGCCTTTTCCGTGCCTTTTCTCTCTCTTATTTCCCTTCCCCTGCCCTTCTGGCCTGCTGCTGATGATGATGACGAGGCACGAACCGCGCACGCCGAACGAGCCGAGACGAAACGAAGCGAAACCGAGTGTACGAATAGTTGCTTGCTGTTGTGCGTTGCGTGCGCGTGTGCTGACAACGGGGCGAATGAGAGTCGAATGAAACACTGACTGTCGCTGGCGGTTCGAGCAACCTCCGTTCCGTGGTTCCAGCATGCACACACACACACACACACACACTCTCACGCGCACTCCCTGGCACACACAGACAGGGTGGCTGCGAAAAACGGGTCTCTGACAGCGAGCCCGCTAAGGTTGTGTGCGTCGGCATGTTGAAACCAGTTTTCCCTCAGCTAGCCTTGGCCAGAGCGAGACAACCCTAGTGCTTGGTGCTCTGCTAATAAATCAAATAAACGCACAGGCCTGTGTCGGTGTGACTTGGTTGTGTTTGTGAGCGCTGGCTGGGTCGGATTTTGCGCAGCCCCATGCACCAATGAGCGGTTCGTGTGAGCAGTTCCGCCTAACTGTACTATCTCGCTTCCGCCCCGTATCGATCCGTGTTGCGCCTGACGTTGCCATAAAAATGTCGTCGGCGCGGTATATGTGGTTTATGGTAAGCGTTGTTGCCACTCTTCTATATCGCGGCAAACGAAACTCTGGAGGAATTTTTCGCCATAAACCGTATAAATTTCGAGCTTTAAACATGGCCGACCCCAGTGGGCCAGAGGAGGGGGCAATGGGGAGGGAAGTAGAGGTCGGGCTGGAGGGGGGCGTGGCAGGGCGGTAGATCCGTGTTTGCGGCGTTTTCGCCGTTAGAGCGCGTCTCACGCGCATAGTTTTTGCCTATTTTTTTTCTCTGCCTTTCGGTACTTGCATATTTATTAAAAAAATTACTACTTACAGTTAAGGTCAAGAGAGAAATTCTTCAAAGGGAAAGAAATATATTCAATAACTAATTTCAGATATTATTATGGAAGATAGCATTTTAAATTCTTGATATTAGTCTCTAATACTAAGTATTATTTGTATTATTTAAGGGAATATCTTATATCTCAAAATTCACTCAAAACAAGAAACTATTTAAAATAAAATTAAAAGATTTACATTTTATGATAAATCAATAACTAATAATAAATTTTAAGACGATTGCAGGGTATCCTTATTTCAGTCAGAAGCATGAAAAGCAGTCAAGAAGTCGTTTCTATATTACAGAGACAACATTTATAATAAAAAAAGCAATTGTAATTTTTAAATGAAACAAAAAAATTAAATATATAATAAGAAAGAGATTTTGTTGTATCTCCAAAGCAATTTAACTTGACTTACACATGAAATTTCACATAATTATTTGAAGGAACTATACCTTTATTTATACATATCAATATCAACAGCTATATTAATTCCACCTCGACTGTAGAGAACTCTATATATTTATATATATATATATATATATATATATATATATATATTTATCTGTAGTTTTACATCTCCCCCCAACCCCCGCTGCGTCTTGTGCTCGATGTTCTTATTAACCTAATGGGTTTGCCAAGGTAGCTGCCGAATAATTGTGTAGGCAGCGAGCCGGCAGCAGATGGAAAAAATTTATTAAGCAAGTGCACTGCAGCTGACGCTGACGCTGACGCCGGCTTCTGGCAAATGGCAAAATGTATCTTTGCGGAATGTATCTTTCGCTCGGTGCGAAACTTTGATGCGGCTTGGCATCCGCTCGCTCACGTATCCCACGGATCCACACACCACACGAGCTTGCTGGCTGGCTGACTGGCCTCCCTGGCATTGTCTCAGTAGCTCCCAGCTCCCAGCTCCAGCTCCCAGCTCCTAGCTGCCACTCCGCTCCCTCCATTCCGTTTTCAGGAGCCCCATTTAATTTACCTTCGCCTCGATTAATGCAGTTTTTACCCAGCGTACTAGTAGTAGTTCTTTTGCCCGTGAGTAACTCCTGGAATGGATGCTTTTGTTCCGACTTTCAGCGACGTAAAGTGATTGGATTCCGGTTCTCAGCTGGCTAACACCCATGGCACACACTCATCTTGGAGTAATGCAAGTGGGTTTTGTCGATTAATTACGGCTTAAATATAGGGATTGATATAGTGTGGTTAATGGTCTTTATCGGAGAAGTCTAGATTATTTGTTAACTTGAAAAATTCCTTTTAGTTATGGTAAATAATTAGTAATAAAATATTATAAACCATGCTAGAATATAGAAGATAGAAATTTATTAATCTTTTATAAGTGTAAGGCAATCAATAAGAATAAAAACTAGTAATAATCCATGTCAAGAACATTCAAATTTCATAAACTATATAAGAAAATATTCCTTTCTTTCCAGAAACTTAAAAATCAGCTTACAAATTTCAGGAATTACTTTATTTTATTTCAATTCCAGATAATTACCTTGCATTTGTAAACATTTTCTCTTCAAGAATCAACGTCTTACTTCCTGCAAGTCATCTCTGAAGCACTTGAGCCGCGCTACTAACCCATTAAAAATGTATAAAAACAAACAAAAGTCGGTATGTGGGCTCGTTCGGGGGGCCTGGTTAATGAATTTATGGCCAATTGCAAATCATTTGACAATGGAGCTCAGCAGAAAACAAGAACAGCAAATAAATAAATGAATGGAAACCGGACAAAACAATGCAAAAACCTGCCCCAGTAACTGACCTACAACAAAAGCAAGAGCAACAAAAAAAAAAAAACAAAACGCAAATCTTGGCCGCAAAAAGTTGGCCAAAGAAAAAGGAAAAACTCAAAAGTCAATGTTGAGATGTTGATTCTACACAGTTGGCCCTGGCCCATTGTGTAATATACAGGAAAGAGGGGAAAACACACACACATAATTCTTGTTTCATTATCAATGTACTTGCTATGTATTATTATGTTGCTGCTGCTTGTGGCATTGATTCCTTTGATGGTGGCAAGACTGTTGCTCTTCAGAAAGCCTTTGCCTTTCATTTTGAAAATGGGAAAATAAAAAAAAACCAACAAAAAACTGAAAACCAGCAGCAACAGTTGAAGAGGAACCAGACCAAGCCCAGACTTAAGACCAGACTCGAACTCGGATTCGGATTCGGATTCGGACTCTGGGTCGGATTTGGATTCGGATGCGGATACCGATTCCAATTCCGATTCGGGTTCAGAACGAGAGACGAGTAGACACACTCAGACGGCTTTGTTGCCGTTTTGCTATTTTGTGCTCCACGTTTGACGTTTGAGCGTGCTGGGCGCGTGTGAATGAAAAGGAAGCTCACTCGCAAACAAAGTCAAGGTCATTGTAAAGAGTTTTAATTGTTCGCACACACAAAAATAAAAAAAACACAAGAGAAAAGAAATAAAACCGAAAAAAACATAATAATAAAAATAAAAATGCTCACACACTCATACAGAGGAATAAAGCAGAAAAAACCCACACACACACACACACACAAACAATGGGCGGGAGGGCATTACACAAACAAACATTCGTACATAATAAAAGAAATAAAAACGCAACCGAGGAGCGGACAATGGCGAAAATGGCAACAAGAAGGGGCACCACCAGGCACCAGTAGTAGCAACAACAACAACAACCACAAAGGCCAGAATTGGCAAGCAAACAAGTTGAAAGTGAATAAAAATTGGAAATAAAAGGATATTGTGGATAGAGTTCCATGACTTTTGACGATTTTTTAATAAATAATGAATGGCCAAAATAAAGGTAAATATCTTTGTGTATTAACTTAAAAGAAACTCTGAAATATTTTAAGATTTAAGAAAATCTAATGAAAAATTTATTTAAATCAAATTAAGAACCCTACACACATTATTAAAGTTTTACATACATTTCTAAATAATTTCTTAACAAGTTTACACAAAAATCAACTCATTTTATAAAAAAAATTTATTAAATTTGATTTTGATATTTAAATAAACTTTGTTTTATATTTCTCCAGTGAAAAAGCATTCACATATTATTAAATAATAATTTTTGCATTTGGATACCCTCATAAAATGAAAATAACCATAAAGCTGTATAAAATTATTAGTAAACTAACTTATTTAAAGAATTTAATCTTTAAATCTCATTTTATACATAAATATCTGTATTCTATAATAATCTATAATATATCATTTCAATTTTATCCCCGCCAAACTATAGTATCAATACCTTGACCCCACAATCGATCCCAATCGAAACTTCTTTTGGCAAAAATATCAATACATTTTTCCAGCATTATTGCCCATATTGCATCCGTTTTTGTTGGCCACAACTTTAAGCCACTCCCGGTTTTTTTGTGTTATTTTTCCCTGATAGCCATATATTGCTGTGTAACTTTCGCTGTTTCTGTCTAAAACTCGGATCTGTAACGCTCCCTAAACGCTTTGCTCTTTGCAACAACTTTTGCCCGGCAACTGTTTTACTGTTTTTACGAGTTCGTTTATCCGTTTAGCAGGCGCCCCCGAAAAAACAACAGTAAAAAATAAATTCAACAACAAAAAAACAAGTAGAAGGAACCCCAAACCGACAGAGAGAGAAAAAAAAACAACAGGAAAAATCTGCAAACACTCGTTGGGAGAACAAAAACAAGTGCAGGAAAAAAAATTACGTATACGACCCGTAGTCTCGACACTTGCAGACGAAACCCCACCCACACAGACACACACATGCTATAAGGGCAAGTGCGAAAGAGAGGGCCACACAGACACCAACACTGGCAGAGAGAATAAGCAACAGACACATCCACAGACGCTATTCAGACTTATTCATTTTACACATTCATTTCCTCATTCAATTCGCAATTGTATACGAAATTTCAATTGTTTGTTGAATGTATTATATGCGTTGTGGCTGTGGAATGGCACCGTTATTGCCGTTGTTGTAGCTGTTGTTGTTGTTGTTGTTGTTGATTCTCCACTTGCCACGATGACGACGACGATGATGACGTTGTTGAAAATTGCATTCGCAGGCGAAGTTCAGAACGAGCGTGTGTGTGTGTAGGAGCAACAGGTTGCTCTAGTTTTGAAATTTTGCCACAGGAGACAAAGAACAAATGAATCCGGATAGGACCCCGAGTGTTCAGATTTGTGTGTGTGTGTATAGTCTGATTGCATGACGATGATAAGCGCGAAGTTCTGGCCATTGA